CTCCAGAGCTTTGTGTTCTTTATCGGACTCCAACCCCAGCCGCTTTGCGCGGTCCATTGTCAACAAAGACAACTAACACACACAGCACGCTCATTAGTCAACTGGTTCGCGCGCGGTCGATGCTCAAACTTACGTATTTTCATTGGTCAGCCTTCGTGCGATCGGGGTTGTTCACACCAACACACCCGCAGACCTACGGCAGGGCATGCACGCTATGTGTGATGACCGCCGCGCTTACAATGCATACATTTTCTATACAGGCTACTGCTATTGCACTGCTGTAAGACGTGCGCGCGTGGCTAGAGCATGACTGCTGGACGCCCTCCTATAGTGTGGCACCGAGCTCTAACCCAGCCAGGGACGAAACAACGCCTCCCTCTGAGATGGCCGCGGGATGTCCACCACTTGACACAGCAGTCGGGTCTGGCTGAGTGTGATGATCTCTCTAACAAACTCTTTAGTTTATACATCCCTTTGTTCGAGGGATGGCCGGGACACGAACTGAACAGGGCCGGATACGCCGGACCCTATGGGTGAATCAGAGCCTATTACGCTTAGCTCCTCTCGCCTGCGGACGAAAACAGGTAAATACAGATGTACAAAAGCTTCCGCCAGAACGGTACGCAGTCGACACGATGGAACATGAGCTGATTGGAGAGAAGCTCTGCCAGTTGAGGACGTTTTAAGGTCACTCCAAGTGAATGTTTGAAGCATTAAGCATCCACTTTGACCATAGAGGTAGCTGTTTTGAAGGTATCACTGACATTTCGAGCACCTACAGGAGATATCTACCACGACGGGCCCTAGTGAGGAATTCCAACTTCGGACGAGCGTCTTGGTGGGCACTGATCTGCCTCGGGTGTCAACTACGCACTGCTGTACTCGGATATCCCAGAAAACCCATCAGTGATCGTTAACCTCCTTTGACTGATGGCGCGCAACTCGTACGTGCGCCCAAACTTTGTGCAGAGGGTCATGGATGCTGCTGTAGAGTAGTGGTGCTTGCTGTGGTAGACCGCTCGAATTGGTCTTGGTAGAGATATTACCTCCGTTTCTTGTGGAAGCGCCTAATGGAACATCTCTCCACTGGGTGGCCACTTCCCAGTTTTCTGATGGGGGCTTCGAGGCGCTCATCGCGAACTACAGCTGGCGATGAGCAGAGACGTGTGCTTCTCAACGCACACTTTTGTTGTTGCGTAGGTCGCACTACAAGATCTACACAGAATCTCCGGAGATTCGATGGCGGTTCCGCCGCATCTCCGTCGCTCTGCCGATGCCGCGTGAGACAAAAGTGGTTCCATACGTAATACTTCACACATTTTTGCACACACATTTTTCCGGACTTCACCGGTGACCGTAAACATTGTTAATGTACACTTGCCTGTAGTGCGGAATACGTATTGGTTATACTTAGAGACGGGGGTTTGGAGGAGAGTTGATGAGCAGCACTTTGAAGTGGTATTATAGTCCAGACGAGACTACAAGTTGTACCCTATATGTTGATCGGCTTCCGAGGGCTGTTCTTCTCTCCAAAAGTCGGTGCGGTACCTGTTAATTTCTTTTTATCATTTTGTTTTCTTTTTCCGAGTGGTTTGTGTAGCGAGTCGTTAGCACGTAGCGGTGGAGGACTAATGCATGGAATCAGCAAGTATCAGATAGCTCCCGATCGAGGCACTGTTTCTGGTGCGAGAAAGGGAATTACTGCTCCGGAGAGGTATTCTAGCCCTCTTACGCAGCGATGCACACACGCTGACCTCTCTTTGTGCAATAGAACGACTGTACCGAGTGCGACGAGTAGTGAAGATACTCGTACCCGCTGTAGTGGCAGGTGTAGTGTAGGAGCAAAGGCCTCCTTATGGATGTTATGGTCATATTCTTTTATTTATAGGGTATTCTAAGCTCCGGATGGTAGCTTGGTTGTGAGCAGAGGAGGGCGAGTCCGAACAGCCCTTGCAGAGGCTCCGCTGAATGCGACCAACTACCTCTGTGGGGGTGTGCCTGCGGAACGATGAATACGAACCGTAACATTCCCCCTATAATAGTATACAACTGTAGTATTATCAACTCATAATATACTAACGCCTCATCGGGTACTTTTAACAAGAGGAATGGTAGAACTGCGAGGTTCTCCATCAACCGATATGCCTCGAAAGGGAACTATCCACCCGATACTTCACGCCGCCATCTCGTCTCTCTCTTTTCTCTGAGGGACAAACTTTCGACAAAACCCTCTCGTGAAGTCGTTGTCATGGAGAGCGATCTCCATGCCAGTGGACTAGACCGACATACCGCCACTGGCTACAAGTGTTATCACAATCAGCGATTGCGACCAAGTCCTACAGGACCTACCAAGTCCACGCATGCACGGTTAGACTACACACAATGGACGCACCAATCAAACATCGACTCGGAACCGCCTACCGAGTAGGAGCAAAGACATACGTTTAACGTCGTGACAACAAACGTTTAACGTATTGACGGTTCTACGGCTTTCGGCACTAGGAATAAGTGGTCTTGATGGAGCAAGACGCAAGAACTTGATATCTACAGCAAACTGGTTACTTATTTACACGCGACATTTTCTTGGGTACTTCACTTCATGTGACGGTGGCTGTTGTTGCTGATCTCTCGCACCAAGGCTCAGCTGCTGTTCCCTGTCCAACGAGACTCATCATAACCTCCCCCACTCGGAAGGCAATAATTCACGGTGTCGGAGAAGTGATATTGTGCCGCGGGAGATCCCCCCTTGCTGAAGACATCCAGAGGGTGTTCACAGCAATATATGGTAATCCCGCGACGTACTTCGAACGTAGGAGAAACTCCCGCCCATGCAATGGCGTGGAGTACCCGATACACTGACATCTACTAACAACTGGATGATAGCATGCTATTTTCGCAGGATGGAAAACGGACTACGCATGCCACATGATTGGACACACACGCGCAGTGCGTGGCAGGGTACTCGAGCAAATAATCGGTAAACAGCGGGCAAGCGCATGGGTTGTGTCAGTACGCTGGTCACCCACAATGTGCGCGCTCATTGAATATTCGCAGCGACACAGACACCGGTCGCCCCGGTGGTCTAGTGGGTAACTTCGCAGCCTGCCAAGGGCCAGGTCATGGGTTCGAGTCCCGGGAAAGTGAGTTTTTTTCTCACGAAATATATCCTGGTCTAGGATGAAAGCGACGCGCTGCAACGCTCGTTGTTAGTCAACCATTATCGACTTCGTAAGTCGCGAGGGAAGGGATTGCTGTACCCTTCTCGTGATAAAAATACCTCAGGCAGGAACCGCAGGAGGGGGTCCAACCCCCCCCCTCCAATGTGACCCCGGTTGGGTCGTCTAGCTAGTAGAAGTGGAGGATAGGGGCCAGAGGGGCAGACGACAGAGTCCAATGATGGGAGACAAAAAAAAAGAAGACACAGCAGACACCGGAAGAAACGTGAGAGGGAAGATGTTGGTGCTAGGGTTAGCCGGTTGTGTCAGTAAGCTGGTCACACACAATGTGCGCGCTCATTGAATATTCGCAGCGACACAGACACAGCAGACACCGGAAGAAGCGTGAGAGGGAAGTTGTTAGTGTTAGGAGAGTTTTGTAGGCGGTTGTGTCTATAAGCTGGTCACACACAATGTGCGCGCTCATTGAATATTCGCAGCGACACAGACACAGCAGACACCGGAAGAAGCGTGAGAGGGAAGTTGTTAGTGTTAGGAGAGTTTTGTAGGCGGTTGTGTCTATAAGCTGGTCACACACAATGTGCGCGCTCATTGAATATTCGCAGCGACACAGACACAGCAGACACCGGAAGAAGCGTGAGAGGGAAGTTGTTAGTGTTAGGAGAGTTTTGTAGGCGGTTGTGTCTATAAGCTGGTCACACACAATGTGCGCGCTCATTGAATATTCGCAGCGACACAGACACAGCAGACACCGGAAGAAGCGTGAGAGGGAAGTTGTTAGTGTTAGGAGAGTTTTGTAGGCGGTTGTGTCTATAAGCTGGTCACACACAATGTGCGCGCTCATTGAATATTCGCAGCGACACAGACACAGCAGACAACGGAAGAAGCATGAGAGGGAAGTTGTTAAGAGTTGGTTGGTTGATCAAACTGATCCTACGCTCTTGAACATTCGTCGGTGTGTGAACCTTGTGCTTGCGAGCATGGAGTGGTTGCGAGGCGGCCGAATCGGAAGCGAGAGTGATGGAATAGTTCGTGGGGCATGAAGCGCGTGGGAAACTCGACCGGCGTTTCAAACCGACCTCACGGCCTAGCAGCTGCCCCCGCGAGAGATCTCTTTTGGATCTCCGTTGGCACGACAAGCGCTGCTAATGCGTACGGGGGCCGTGCCGTATAATCCCCTCGGTCTTCGATAGTGCCTGGGTGGTACGACATGCCCTCAGAAACCCGTGCTCCTGGCCGCGGCACCTCCCCCCTTGCGGAAAGCAGTAGTCGAAACTGTGCTGCGACGGTCACGCGATATTCCCCCTTGCGGAAAGCAACCAACCGCGGTTGTCTCTTTTGTTGTGATGCAATGCGTGTACACTCGGCCGTCGAAGAAAATAAACAGGGGACACGGAACGGGCAGAGCTCACGGCAAAAACGCGTGAGGGTTAGGGTTGGTCGGTGAGGTAGTTGTTCGGCGATATGTGCAAATAACAACAGTGCGTGTGGTAACAACCCACGACGAAACAAAGGAAAGTGCGGAGCGGCAGCCTGAGCATGCACAGGTGACGGGCAACGGACGATAACAGCAAATAGTAACGCGTGGTCTGGGTTAGGATTAGAACGTACGTTAAACGTGTGGCGCAGGCCGCGTCACCCCACCGGTAACGCACACATGATTGGGAGCGCCAGGACCGGTGCGGATACGCGTGTGGCACTCAGGGTGTAATGTGCTTAGGGCGAGACATGTAAGGAACACGAAAAGGAGCTGCTAGCCACCGACGATGAAACACGAAAGACTGGCGGAGCCACGTTGTTAGCGGGACACCACCGGCGTGGAGCACGGGTTGCAAGAAACCAAAGAAAAAGAACATCACACGTGAGACGTGCGTTTCCTCCCAAAGCATCGAAAGGAACACTCAAGGTGCCCAGTGGCTCTGGCCAAAAGTCGCTAGAGCGGCCGGAATCGGATTCGGGTCAATGAAGTAATCACGAATTCGTGACAACGGTAGTCTGACTCTTGTAGTTCATGTCATGTGTGGATTACATCGAGAATATTGGCCACCATGCATTTGGGGGTCGACATCAGAAGCCTGGGCTTGCAGCTCTCAACCTCATAACTCAGAACCCCCCAACCATCCACACCGTAGCCTGAGCTGCACCCTTCTCTAGATCCTCCCGAACCTGACCCCAAAGGGTATCCTCCTGCTGGCGTCGAACGAGCAAACCCGGGCCCTTCGGCACGCATAGCGCCCGGTGAACCGCTCGCCGTGGTCCCTGTGTCCACTGCCGCGTTTAGGGGCAACTCCCCCCGTGCTGAAAGCACCTCCCCCCCCCGTCGGCGAACATGGCGCGCTCGGGGAGGGCCGGCTTCGATCGAAAGTGGCAGACGCACAGCAGCGACGTTCGTACGAGCAGCAGCGCCCCGGCCGACGCAAGGCGCACCGGATTCACAAGACGCAACCGCGCACAACCGGCAGCGACGGCGTACAGATAAAACGCGCTCACAGCGATTAGATGAAGGAAGACAAATACATAAACAAGAATAACATATGCTAAATAGGGCCTAGAAGGACGCACTCACCAAGTGCATCGCAATGCCACAAAACAACGCGCGGCGGGGCGCACATACCAGGCGCACAGCTAACCAACAGCCAAGAACATAGAGGGACAAAGGGAAACAAACGTTTCAAGGAGTTAAAAGATGAAAAACAACGCCCTGTGCACGGCGTACGAGTTGCGCCGTACGCACCCAGCGTAGTTCAGAAATGCGTGAAGAGCGACAAAGAGCACAGAAGGAAAGTCAACATGCCGCGAAAGGCGCAGGAACTGTAACCGCAGCTTGCAGCGAAAGGTGCAACCGGGTCCGAGGGGAAGTTAACACAAAGCGACCGACGCACAAGGCGCCACCTGGTCAGAGCCAAATACAGGACGAATTTCATGGAACGGCCACAGCAGCCGGCCGTGATTTTGTAAGGGAACACAGCGAAGCAGCAGGGCGGCAAAGGGATACAAGCATATAACAACAGAACTCACACGCACGCGAGTGCGTGCTCATCGATTGTACACCATGTAACGAGTCGTTAGCACGTAGCGGTGGAGGTCTAATGCGTGGAATCAGCAAGTATCAGAGGGCTCCCGATCGAGGCACTGCTTCTGGTGCCAGAAAGGGAATTGCTGCTCCTGAGAGGTATTCTAGCCCTCTCACGCAGCGATGCACACACGCTAACCTCTCTTTGTGCAATAGAACGACTGTACCGAGTGCGATTGTTCGTGTGTCTGGATACGAGCATGGTAGATCTGCTAGCAGCACGGGGGGGTACGTAGACAGGAGCATGCGTATGCCTGAAAAAGGCTACTATGTGTGGGCCCCCTTCCCCGAATTCGGGAGGGCCACTTCTTCCCTTCCTTTCCTCGCTCCCGCGGGTGCCTAATCAGAGAGAGTTAAAGCGTGTCTTCTCCTCCCAAGTACGGACATACCAACACACTAGTGTTTATTCCCTCGAGGGAGTCCATTAGGGATGGCGGGCCGCAGAACCGGAGGGACCACTCCGGACGGCTCGCAGGCAGGAGACACCAATAGCAGCGAGCAGATCGACAGCATGCGGTCTGAGATCAGTTCGCTGACACAGCAAATGGGCCAGCTGGTGCAGCTGGTCGGAGGACTTGCTGCACGTATAGAGGAGAAGTCCGGCGGTGCCACGGAGGGCGCCGCTGAAAGCGGCGGCGCCGTGGAGAGCGTCGCCACAAGCACTGCAGGTCATTTTGGGACCGTGCAGTACGACGGGAGCGCGCAGGCAGCGGACCTGCGACGAGAGTCTGGTCCTTCGGGACGACACAGCGGCGAAGTAGGGGGTTCAGACCCCCAAGAGGTGAGAGTAGCCGCTGCTCACAATCAAGCTTGTTTCAGCAGCGCCATGGGAAGTGGTGCTGCTGTCTTCGGTAGTGCGAGCGTGGGATACCAAAGCGTGAAGTACACAGCGCCCACGTTCAGCGGAGACGCCAAGAGTTTTCTTCGTGGCTAGAGGATTTTTTGATGGCAGCGAACGCAGCAAACCTTCTTGAGCTTTACGAGGAGGGGGGGGCGGAGATCCCCGTTAACAGTGGGCAGAGCAAGGTCCAACTGTCCAGGTTTTACCCGCACGACAAAGTAGAGCTCGCTTTCCACGCGTGGAATTTCCTCCGTGGAGCTCTCAAGGACGAGAAAGACAGGACAATAATGAAGCGAGCTGAGTCGCCCCTGAGGGCGCTCCGTGAGCTGAAGGGGTTGTACGACCCAGAATCGTCCATGCAGCCTGCGGATGAGTTGAAATCCCTGACATCCAACAAGATCCCGATGGCAGAGAATCCGCAACATGCTCTCAATGCTCGCCACCGCAGAGTCCCTTTCGAAACGGGGGCTTTGTTAACGAAACCTTCGTTTTGCACCTCTTGTTGGATGCCCTCTCCAACGAGTACGCTATGACCA